ATTTTTTTAGCCGAGCCGGGTTAAAACAAAAAAAAAACAGTAAGAATAGTGAGAAAATTTTCAATCAGTCGCCATTTTTTTTTTAATTAAAATTTTCGAAATTCCATACGTACGACAACAACTACATCCTTACTGATTAAAAAGCAATTTGGATTTTTATTCTCAGATGATCCGTTTTTGAGTTATCGAACCGACCATGGAGGGGGAAATTTTTTCTAGTGCTCTACGAGATTGTTAATAACTTTGTAATAATTAAATATTTTTTAATAAAAATTTAGCGTAATCATCTTTAATGTATCCTTAATAAAATAAAAAAAATTATTGTGTGGTTTTATGAAACCACGATGCAAGTAAAACTTTTTTTGGATTGTTGACATTCAACTAAAAATTTTCAGAAAATGAATCAATTTAGGTTATTAAAATTGCGTTTTTAATCCTAACTTAATAATTGGTAGATGAAAAGGGTCAACCCAGGGGATGTTGCTGCAATTATGCTTATAGTCATTAACGGATCTTAATGAAATTTAGTACAAATGTTTCTCAGACGATTATCTCAAATAAGTTCAAAGATGAGCTAAGTAGGTCAATAAGTTTAGAAATAATAGCTATTTGAATTTTTCTGAAGATAGTGAAAGTTGCATTTTCTGTCTTTTTATTTTTAAAGAACATTTAATTGAAATACGATAGCTTATTATTGAACTGATACTTCTTTTGGCGCGTTTGTTTTATAACACTGTAATATTTTCAAATTAGATAGAAATATTATTTAATATGAAATATATTATTCATATTAATAATCAATTTTAAAAAATGGTCCAGTAAATATTTTAACTTTTTATTAAGTTCATAATTTTTTAACACAGGCTTAATCATTTTGTTTATCGAATTTAGTAATTCTATCTATTTTTTTTTTTTTTAATTTATATTACAGACCATTTTAATTTGTAAGTCTTTTAATTCATGTAATTAATATTATTTTTGAAAAAATATTATTTAAAGTAAAGAGATACTATTACTAGGATAAATAAAAAATAATGAACTATTTTATAAGAAACATATATTTTAAATAAATAATTAAAATATTTTATAGTTATCAATTGTAAATTATTGATACTTTGCAACTCTAAAATTAGTTGATTAAGAAAAATCTTAAATAATATTGAATTGAATTCATATGATAATTAATGATTTTATATTTACACGGTATATCTAAATTTTTACTATAATATAGCCTTTTTGATTGCTTTTAACATTTTTCATCGATCATCTTTGCATTTTTTTTTTTTTCAAAATTTTATTTCTTATGCCAAAGAAGTATAACTTCTGACTCGTGTACATAAGTACACACACCATTTTTTTCTTCAAAACTTATCTTATGGTTGGTAAAATTGCGTCTTTAATTTGATCTATCAAACATTTACTGAATGATGATTTTATTAAGATTATTAGAATTTCAATTTCTGCCAGTTTTTGGTAAACGAGCTGTATTAGTCCGTGTAATAGAACTGACGGTGGTTTGATTAAAAATTTAGTGTGATTTTTCACTGATTATTTTAGAAATTATTGTTTGATATAACTATTAATTATATATCGAAATCTACCTTCCAATTCAATTATTCTATCAATAACCATATATATTATTGCTGCCATAAGTCTCGTAGTTTATAAATGTAACTAATATTTCATAGTAACAAAAATAAGCTCTGATTAAACAAAAGTATTTAAAGTATTGAACTATTAATATTTCAAATTTTTTCAAATTCTATCTCTTATGAAAGTTCAGTATATGAAGAATCCTTTTTGATCCTTTTGTTTTTTTTTTTTTAGGAACTAAATATTATCTTACATTGCATTTGAATATAAATGCTATATGGTTAACTAATGCGAACTATAGGCCGCCATATTGCCCTTGGCTGCTCTGACGAGCGCCTTTCACTTTATTCCTACTCCGCGACCGACCGTCACGCGACATGCGCTACACAGACCAAAAAATTTGAGATGATGTAATAAAAGTTTCACTTTCAAAAATCAGATCCTCAAATTTCTTTATTTTCCTGTCAAAAAAATTCTCGAAAATCACCTCTTTTTTTCGATCGTCACAGTGGTGTTCGCCCTTAATATTTTTGAAAAAAATTTTTTTTGCCCTCTGGGCAGAAAGTGGCAACTTTGGTCCCACTGCGCTAAACAAAGTTGCCGCTTTCCGCCTTCTTCGGACAAAAAAATATTATACAGCTCTTGGGAAGTAAAAAAGAAAACCTCAGATCACATGTTTGTTGACCTCGGCTTTGCCTCGGCCAACAATTACATGTGATCTGAAGCTTTTCTTATTTACCTTCCCAAGGGGTGTAATATACTATATTTTAATTATGACACGGTTGAGGCTACGTTTTCTAAATTTTATTAAGGACTGACCTTTTATACATGATAAAGGTATTCCTGTGTTCTAGGTGCATTGAACAGTCCATTGGTTGAATCAAAACTTCAAACCTATGGAGGCAACCACCTGGACTGACTTTTCATACGTGATAAAGGTATTCCCGTGTTCTAGGTGCATTAAACAGTCCATTGGTTGCATCAAAACTTAAAACCTATGGAGGCATCCACCTGGACTGACTTTTCATACGTGATAAAGGTATTCCTGTGTTCTAGGTGTATTAAATAGTCCATTGGTTGCATCAAAACTTAAAACCTATGGAGGCATCCACCTGGACTGACCTTTTATACATGGTAAGGGTATTCCTGTGTTCTAGGCGCATTAAATAGTTTATTGGTTGAATCAAAACCTAAAACCTATGGAGGCATCCACCTGGACTGACCTGTTATATATGATAAGAGTATTCCTGTGTTCTAGGTGTATTAAATAGTAAATTGGTGGAATCAAAACCTAAAACCTATGGAGGCAACTACCTGGACTCCTTTATTGAACCTCATAAGGGTATTGGTGTATGCTAGGTGTATTTAAAAGTTGAATGAAATTATTTCCATTTAAAATCTATGGAGAAAAATACCTAGAGTTTTTTTTTATATCTTTAAATTTTTTCGGCACGCTAACGCCATCTGTTGAGAATAATGTTTCCGTTAGCAGAAAGTACAAAATTTCTTTCGATATTTTTCGGTATCAGATGGCTCGATTTTTAATTTTTTTTCGTAGGGACAATGAAAAACTGGGACATTGCTTAGCTGGGACAATGACCAACTGGGACATTGATTAGCTGGGACAATGACATATTCCCTTTTTCTGAAAAATCATTTTTAAAAAATTGCATGGAGAGATGAAAAACATCATAAGTGCAATTTTAAGCGCCTGAGTATGAAATTAGCGGGAAGTTGCAGGGATGGGCCTCAGGGTCAACCGTTTCCCTAATTTTTTTTCCATAATTTATTTGTTAAAAAATTTTTAAAATGATTAAATATCTGCTAAATTAATTCTCATTCAAAAAGTTTCACTTGTGAAAATAAAAAAAAAAAATTTTTTTATTATAATTATAATTTTTAAGAAAAATTTTTAAAATTGACAGTTAACAGCTAACTTTAGTATCATTAAAAAAAAATAAAAAATAACACTTACCATTTTTTAAATAACTCTCTTGTATTTTCATCACTGACCTGACCATTATCTGTATTTGGCAATGACACAAATGTATACTTGGGTTCAACATCCATTATCTTATTAATTATTTATATTTATAATTCATCAACTTCTAAGTGATTTACAAAAATAACAAAATAAGCGCCATGGTAACCAATCGAAATAAGTCGATTGAAAACTCGAATCTAATCGAAATATTCAAACTGAAAGCCTCCCGCGCAAAATAAAATCAATAATATATAATAACATCATGCCGCCACGTAGTAAACGTCCTCGTCAGAATTCTGGAAACAAAATGATTCCAAAGAAAAGTAATGAGAAAAAAACATCCAAGTAAGTTTATATTTATTTATCTATCTACTTAATTAAATTATTCTATAAAACAGCTGTCAAATTTTACTAGAATACTAAACAACCTGTCATTAAACTTAACCTCACTTTTTCATATTGTTTATATTTTTAATTGTCATAAATAATGAATAAAAAAATCAACATACTTTTTTTAAATTTATTTCAGCAAATCTGAGGATGTAGCAGCGCCAGATCCCACCACCATGGGATTGATTTACCCAGGAGGTGACACAGCATTCAAGTTACTGCTGTCAGCCAGGTTTTGCTCGGCTATTTGGTGTTACATCAGTGATTGTGATGAAACTTATAATTATTGGGAACCGGTAATTATTGTTTTATTATATTAATTAGAATTTTAAATAATAATAGATAAATTTATAATTTTAGAGTCATTATTTATTGTATGGGACAGGACAACAGACATGGGAGTACAGCCCAGAGAATGCTTTACGTTCTTACACATATTTATTAATTCATTTAGTGCCAGCTAAATTCTACTGCTATTTATTTGAACCAAATCCTATTTTAGTCTTCTATTTTATACGCTGTCTTCTGTCAATCGGTTGTGCTCTATCAGAAGTTTATTTTTATCAGTAAGATATCTATTCTTTAAATTAATCTTATCTTTAAATTTTTCGGTGAAAAATTTTCTATCATCTGTCATGTTTTAAATCATAATTAAAAAATTTAATTTATTAAAATTTAATATTTAAATAATAACAATAAAAAATTTTTTCAGAAATGTTTGTAAAGAATTTGGAGTACACGTAGCACGTCTTACGTTAGTCTTTTTAATTACAAGCTCTGGAATGTTTATATCGAGCGCGGCATTTCTTCCATCAGCATTTTCAATGTAAGTTATTTTTATTATAATTAAAATAATTTTTTTTTAATTGAATTGTTATAAATTAATTTTTTTAGGTACGTAAGTACAGCAGCAATAGCAGCGTGGTACGCGCGTAAATACGAATTAGCAATATTTGCAACAGCTATTTCTTCATTACTAGGCTGGCCATTCGTAGCCTTACTCGGGTAAATAAAAAAACTTTGCTAATAAAAATATACACGTGATTAATTTTGCTGAACTCCAGGGTACCGATAGTAATTGATCTAACACTGAGGCGTCAAGAATGGTCGAGATTTATCAGCTGGACAATAATATCCGGAGCAGTTATTCTGATACCTATGGTCTGGATTGATTCTGTTTACTTTGGAAAACTAGTTATTGCACCGCTTAATTTGATCATGTACAATGTATTCACAAATCACGGGCCTAATTTATACGGAACTGAGCCACTGAGTTACTATTTTATAAATGGATTTTTGAATTTTAATTTTGTGTTCATTGCTGCTCTATTTACTCCCTTGGCATTGGTGAGTTTATTTAAAATTTTCATTTTAATTAATTAAAAATTAAATACTGATTTATTTTACAGATCTTATCTTGGGCAATAGTACCAGCGAAGCCAAGAAATAAATATTGTCTGCCCTATTGGTTTTCATTGGCTCCGCTTTACCTCTGGATGATTGTCATGTTTTCACTACCTCACAAAGTAATCTATATTATTAAGAAAATAAGAAAATTTTTTTTTCCTGGATAGTCATATGATAAAATCGGTTTTTTTTTTAGTTAAAGTTAGAGTCATTGCAAAGGTCTTAATTTAAATTTTTACCTTTTTAGGATTTCATATCATTCTCACCGATAGTCAATTTATGATGATAAGTAATTACGGGTACATTCAAAAATTCGCTATCTCTAAAGACATTATTAAGAAATGACCTTGTATCTTGTGAATTATTGAAATTTTTACAGATATAACTGTATCTGTAACTCTTGATGAGTGTAACACTGGGATGAGCTTATATATTTAAAAACGTCAATATTTAAGAAAGTACAGTGCAATTTATCAAAAGTCATTATTTAATAAAGCAAAATTTTATTTATTTATACTTTACAAGTCACGACAGTCACATAGTGACTGAAAGATTGTTAGTTATTTATTATTTAATATTAACTGACTAAAAAAGATTACTAATTTAAATATTGATGACATTTAATTTAGCTGTTACTTGACAATTTTTTAATTTTCTATAACAAAAAAATTTGTTCCAAAAAATTATTTTCACAATATTGAACTTTTAATTTTATTAAAATTTCTACAAGTCCATTTTTTTAATAATTTTTTTTTTTGCCATAATTAATTTTTTAAAGAAAATAAAATAAATTGTCAAGTGACAGCTAAATTTAATTAATATTTTCAGCTAAATTTAATTTTCATAAAAATTTATTTTTCAGGAGGAAAGATTTCTATTTCCAATTTACCCAATGATCTGCCTAGCCGGGGCGATAACAGTAGACGTAGTTCAAAAAATTTATTTCTTCGTTCGTACGCAGATAAAACCCTTGAAGCAAGTCTCCCATTATTTGCGAGGTACGTCTCACATAATGATACTGGTATTCCTAGTGACAGGCCTGGCTGGTATATCGCGATCCTTCGCGCTTTTCAATGGCTACTACGCGCCCCTAGAAGTTATGATGGAGGCCAACAAATTGGGCAGCGAGGGCCAAGTTCCAGGCGATGTCAACGTTAATTTCTGTGTTGGCAAAGAGTGGTACCGCTTTCCCGGTAGTTTCTTTTTCCCTTCAAATAATTGGCGGCTTCAATATCTACAGTCAGAGTTTAAAGGTCAACTACCCCAGCCATTTTTAAATCATCCTAATGGTACTAGTGTAATTCAGGAAAATTTTAATGACATGAACAAAGAAGAACCTTCGCGTTATGTAAGTTATTTTAAGTATAACAATTAATGTGGTACTTATTAATTTACTAATTGACTTTTATTTTTAGTTTGACATTGAGAAGTGTCACTTTATACTAGATCTAGATACCGGTACTGAAACAGAATTGGAGCCAAATTATTCAAAACAAATAGATAATTTTACTGTAATTAAATCTGCTAAATTTTTAGACTCTTCTGCGTAAGTATTTTTTAATTTAACTTTATGAAAATAAAATTAGCCGACAGCTAAAAATTTTTAGAATTTTTTCCTTAAAAAAAAATTTAATAAAAAAATAAAAATAAAAAATTTTATTTTTAAAAGATATTTTTTAGTTCTAATTTAAATTAATTGATGAAAATAAATAAAAAAAATCAAGGACATCGGCTAACTTTAATATTATTTTAACTTTAATTAAAATTATTTAGAAATTTTTTTTATGACATTAAAATTAACAGTCACTTGAGCATTTCTTTTCATTTTATTCAACAAACAAATTTGTTCCAAAAAATTTTTTTTAAAAAATTGCATTTTTTTTTTTTTAATTTTTACGTCAATTTTTATTTCTAATTTTTTTGCCATAATTTATTTGTTACAAAAATTCTAAAAAATGATCAAATATCGGCTAAATTAATTATCATTTTTTTTTTTTATCATTGACAGGTCTCATCCATTCTTCCGTGCATTTTATATCCCATTTATATCCGAAGATTACAGTAAATATGGCTCTTACAGTTTACTAAAAAGTAATAAATTTAAATTATCTCCTTCGAAAATTTCAACTCCAAAATCCGCATAAATAAATTTTTATAATTTTGTAAATTGTAAATATTTTTTTATAATAAAAAATCCATTGTGATTGTTATTATGTAATTTTTGTTATTAAAAAAAAAATATAAGCTCTATATACTTATAGATAAATGTATATACATACCTTTAGTACCAGCTATGTTTTTATATAAAAGGATAAATTGACAAGTTGACCAGTAAAAGTTGTTAAGACGTTTTAGGGTTGAAATAATTATAAATAAAATGTGATTATTTACGAAGTAACACACAAAAAGTTTATAATAAATAAGTATTGTAATTATTAATAAAATATTGTTAAATATTTATAAAAAACATTCCGGTATAAAAAAAATAAAAATGGCAGAGATTGACGACAAAGATTCGCATCCTAAAAGTATTAAATTGCCAGCAGCTGTTGAAGTATTTGCAAACTTAAAAAATGCCCAAAACTTTGCAATTGACATAGGTAAGTAACTATTTTAATTATTTAGAGTAATTATTTAGTTGATGGAAAAAAAATAAATAAAAGTTGTAGGTTAAGTTGCTTTTATACGTCAGTGACTAAATAAAATAAATAAAATTTTCAGGATTATCCCTGACAAAAATAGCTTATTATTCAACAATAAGCTATCGCAAAGCATTGTATGATAATGAAGAATCTAATAATGAGAGTAATAGCGAGTTAATAACCTACAAGCTGCAAAAGGGATCACGGCTGCATTTTGTCAAGTTTGAAACACGTCATATTGAAAACTGTCTTGATTTTGTTAAAGATAATCTTGTTAATGCTGAGCGTTTTCAAGGCAAAAGTATTAAAGTTACAGGTGGTGGAGCTTTCAAGTACACCAATTCTATTCAATCTAAATTAGGTTTACAGTACGTATTTATTTTTTTTTATTTCAAAGATCTTGAGTTGAATTTGTTCCTTTTCAAGATTTCATATCATTCTCACCAATAGTCAATTTATGATGATAATTATTTAGGCTGCATTTGAAAATTCTCTATCTCTAGATACATAATTAAGAAATTACCTTGTATCTTGAGAACTATTGACATTTTTAAAGGTATGAGCTCATCCCGATGTTATACTCATCAAGACCTTTCATTTGAGTACCCACATCAATTTTTTTTATATATTTATATATGTATATATGTATATATGAGAAATATATCAAAATGCATGTGGGTACTCAAATGAAAACTCTTGATGAGTGTAACATCGGGACGAGCTTATATCTTTAAAAACGTCAATATTTAATAAAGTAAAGTGCAATTTAACAAAGGTCATTATTTAATAAAGAAAATTTTTTTTATTTATAGTTTACAAATGACAGCAGTCACAAAAAGACTGCAAGGTTGCTAGTGAAAATTAATTTAGCAGATATTTGTTAATTTTTTTAACAAATAAATTAAAAGAAAAAATTTGACATGAAAATTTAAAAAATTTTAAGTGCAATTTTTAAAAAATATTTTTTCAATTATGTTTATTGATTCAAAAAATAAAAAATTGTCAAATGTCTGCTAATTTTAGTATCATAATTTTTCTTGCTATAATTTATTAATTAAAAATTATCATATGTGTCTGACTTTTAGTATAATTCTTTGTTAGTCAAGTAATTTTCTAAACTATCACTAATTAATATTTATTTGTTACCAGGGTGGATAAAGAAGATGAAATATCATGTCTAATAAAAGGGTGTAATTTTTTACTGAAAAATATTCCATGTGAATCCTTCGAATTTGAGCGTCATGGAAATCCAGAGTATAAATTCGAAAAAGCTGGTCCTAATATATTTCCATATTTGTTAGTAAATATTGGAAGTGGCGTTAGCATATTGAAAGTGCAGTCTGAAGAAGAGTTTGAGCGGGTTGGAGGTACTGCTACTGGTGGTGGTACATTTTGGGGACTGGGTTCATTATTAACCAAAGCTAAAGTATGCTAACAATAATAACTATTATATAAATTATTTATTATTAAAGCTAAGAACCAATTTTATTATCAAAATAATTTTATATTTCCAGGGATTTGACGAATTATTAGAATTAGCAGAAAGAGGAGACCACAGAAATGTTGATATGCTTGTCAAAGACATCTACGGAGGCGATTATTCGTCCCAAGGGTTGTCGGGAGATTTAATAGCCTCGTCTTTCGGAAAAACAATGTCTTGCAACGCGATACCGGGACTGAAGAATTTTGCCGAGGCAGATATTGCGAGGAGCTTGTTGTTTATGATAAGTAACGACATTGGACAGATTGCTAGTCTTTATGCTTCTATCCACAACATGGATAAAGTTTACTTTGGTGGATATTTTCTGAGAAATCATCCGCTTTCAATGCATACTATTTCATTTGGAATTAAATATTGGTCTAATGTAAGAATTTTTTATTTACTTTATTTAAAAAATATTTTTATTAAATTTATTTTAAAAAAAATTTTATTAATTTTCTTTAAAAAATTTTATTAAATTTATTTAAAAAAAAAAATTTATTAATTTTATTAATTTAGGGAAAAGTAAAGCCACTGTTTCTGCGCCACGAAGGCTACTTGGGAGCGATCGGAGCGTTTTTATACGGCGCAGAGCAAGCAAATTCTTACAGCTGGTTGGAAAATTACGCTGGATCCTCAGGGTTCAAGGACTCGGTGGCTACTGACTTGGGAATAAAAGTAGATCAGTTAGAAATAGATCGAGCTGAAAACGCAGTGAGCTTCTGTCCTTTATTGACTGACCCAGTGTCTTATAATCCGGATACCACAGACCTGGCCCAAGATAAAGAAGCTCGGGATTACTGGCTCCAATGTTTCGAGGAATCTGTTGACAAGTTTGTCGCTCGAGCCATTCACAGTCAACCTCAGAGTCCTACAGCCAAGGACCGGGCAAGTAAACTCAAGGAAAAATATATCAACCGGCTTCATTATTTACATTTACAACCTTTGTAAGATTTTTTTTTTTTTAAGTTCTGAAATTATTATTCATATTTTTATTAATTATTTATTGTGCTTTTAGTGCGTATGGAACGCTTACTGTCAGGACTTTATTGGATACTATCGAGCACTGTATGAAAGAGTTTGATTTTCCGGATCCTTATTTTGAGGTATTTTTTTTTATTTTTAAGTACTTAAGTAAAATATTGTAAGTTATTAAATTAATTTTTTATTAATTTTAGTTGAAAAAAAATGAAAACGAAGAGGCGCTAAATTTTTTAAAAAATCGCCTGGATATGTTGGACCAATTAACAGGAGCTGAAAAACTTAGAGCATTAATTTTAGGCGTTTTAGCTGGTAATATATTTGATTGGGGTGCTAAAGAAGTTGCTAATATTATGGAGTCTTCAACATTTCGTTTTGAAGATGCTCAAAATAAAATTCCAGGTATTTAAAAATTAATAAAAACTAGCGATCTTGCAGTCACTATGTGACTGCCGTCGCTTGAGAACTATAAATAAGTAAAATTTTGCTTTATTAAATAATGACTTGTTAAATTGCACTTTACTTTATTAAATATTGACGTTTTTAAAGATATGAGCTCATCCCGATGTTACACTTATCAAGAGCTTTCATTTGAGTACCCACATCAATTTTTTATATAGTTATATATATATATATATATATATGAAAAATATATCAAAATGCATGTGGGTACTCAAATGAAAGCTATTGATGAGTGTAACATCCGAGTGAGCTTATATCTTTAAAAATGTCAATAGTTCACAAGATACAAGGTCATTTCTTAATTATCTATCTAGAAATAGAGCATTTTCGAATGCAGCCTAAATACTTGTCATAATAAATTGACTATCGGTGAGAATAATATAAAACCTTGAAAAGGCACAAATTCAAATCAAGACACTAAATTTCACTAAAAAAAAAAACCGATTTTATCATATGACTACCCTAAACACAAAATTTTTCTTATTCTCAATAATATAGATTTATAATAATAATTTTTGAAGTAAAAATTTCCGTATTAATTTATAATTTAATGACTAAAAATAAATTACAGGAAGACCATGGTTAGAAGACAATTTAGATGAGTGGGTAATGAGACTAGAGCAAGACCCACCACATAAATGTGCGGCAATATTTGTCGACAACAGTGGAGTCGATATCGTCCTTGGAATCCTACCTTTTGTACGAGACTTACTTCAACGTGGAACCAAAGTTATTCTGTGCGCCAACTCGATGCCGGCTTTGAATGACGTTACTTATCCTGAACTACTGATTATTTTACGTGACGCCGCTAAAATTTGTAAGGATATTAAGTATGCGTTGAAAGAAAACCGGCTGCTGCCCATGGAGACTGCCCAAGCTGGCCCGTGTTTAGACCTCAGGTAATTATATTTATATTTTACAATACTAATAAATTTTTTAATTAATTAATTAAATGTTTCATTGTCATCAGTCGGTTGAATTTGGACTTATGTCTGGCGATGGTAAAACATAACGTTGACCTGGTGGTTATCGAAGGAATGGGAAGGACTTTACACACTAATTTGTACGCGAAAATGAAGTGTGAGTGCCTGAAATTAGCGGTCGTTAAGAACCGGTGGTTGGCGCTCAGGTTGGGAGGTGATATGTACGCGGTTATTTGCAAATACGAGCGACCGGTGTCCCAGACACATGTATTGAGGTACAAAAATAATGACGGCAATGAGCTACTGAGTCAAGAGACTGATGACTGTGAAAATAAAAAAATTAATTGTGAGAACACTTAATTTTATTTTATTTTATTTGGAAGATTCTCAAATAACAAATCACGATTGCCTTAAATATTTCAGTTTTACTGAATTCTTTAATAAAAACATATAAATATATAAATGTGTAAATGACTAGAGTAAAAAGTAAAAGACAATAAGAAAAAAAAAAAAAAAATTAGCAAAAAATCCGTAATGGATTGTTTCTGTGATACTAATGTTTATCTAAGTATTTTCATTAACATTTCAAATTATTTATCGTATTTTTTTCTTTTTTGAGTTTGTATTGATATGTATGATAAAATTAAGTAGTGATTAAATTTTTCGACTAATTATTTTAAACCTTTCTGAATTTTTTTTAACACCTATATCTCTTGTAATTATATACTTATATAATTATCAGTTATTGTTATTATTATAAAATATTACACAGTTTCGTATTTTCAATAATTTATAAAAAATATTTAAAAAATTTTTTATCAATATAAAAAAATTTGACACAGTATTTTATTTTAAAATATTTAATTACAATGATTGGTAAGGCATTTAGTTTTGTAATAAATATTATTTTATCTTATTAAAAATTAATATTTATAGTTATAAAAAAATTGTTAGAAAATTTAAAGACTTGTGTAAAAAAAACAAATGTTTTTAGTTTTTAAAAATTTTAATGAAATTACGAAACTGCATAATTAATTACTTAGCATTTAATTCACACTGATTAAAGCAATTCTATTAGCAGCTATCGTTGTTTAGTAGTATTTCGGTGGCCACTAAAAAATACTGGACTTTGTACGTAAACATACATAATTTCTTAATAATAAATCGTATGGCTTTTGTAATTTATAATTATTACCAAATAAATTTTAATAATTATAAAATAAAAATAAAAAAATTTTTTTTTTAAATATCTAAACAACAACTTATAAATATATCACGTTAAACCATGGCCACCTGGACTAATTTTCTATCAATAAATATAAAAATGTTACCTTAAATTAAGTCTTGTGTAAAGTCTTCAGAGTATCAAGCCTTTTGTTCCTTATGTATTACTAATTATTTAAACAATAATTCCTGAAATTGTAAATATTTCCTTACGAAGAATTTATTTTCTCTGTACGCCGGCCTTTGTATTGTGCAGTCGCTTCATATGTTTATTCAAGTTTGCCCAGTTGGTGAATGTGCGATCGCAAAATGAACAAATATAAGGGCGTTCGCCTGTGTGTTGCCTTCGATGAACCTAAAAAAATATAAACAAACAAAGTATTAATTAAATAAATACTCAGCTGTGTATATTTATAATAATTACCGTTAAAATTCCAGCGAAACGGAATTTTTTACCGCAGACTTCGCATTCATACGGCATTTCTCCGGTATGAATTCGCGTATGTGCAACGAGAGTGCAACGTTCTTTAAATTGTTTTCCACAGGTATCACATCGGTGTTTCTTAACTTCCGAATGTGTTACTAAATGTCTCTCTGCAGAGTATAATAATAATTTAAGCTTTAAATAAAATAAACTTAAAATAAAATGAAAAGTATATTTACTTAAAAGACATTCTGTTCTAAAACTGCGACCACAGGTGGGACAATGATAATTTATATCCTCCGTATGGCTGGCCATGTGATAACTCAGAGAATTTTTGGACACAAAAGATTTCCCACAAACGTCACACATGAAGTCATATACTCCGTCGTGCATTTTTTCGTGATTTTCCAGCGCTTTTTTAGACGAAAAACTAAATTTATAGATAAATCAATAATTATAAACGTCTATAAAAATAATATTAATTAAAAAAAAAAAATAACTTACTCTTTCCTACAAATTTCACACAAAAATTGTCCATCCAGAGGAAGATGAAGTCTTTTATGGACTGCTAGAGTCAAGGAACTTTTAAACCTTTTACGACATATGGTACAGAAGTAAGGGCGTTTGTCAGAATGCACTAGAGAGTGCGATAGCAGAGATGACTTAAGATTAAATACTTTACCGCAGTCGTCACATCTACAAAAGATAAATAATTTATAAACATAATTCTTTCCAACAATTATCATAAGAATAACCAAATTAATAATTACTCGAATCTTTTAGGATCTTCATGGAGTAAAAAGTGTTTAGTAAAACTCCTATAGAGACTGTACTCCCTTTCGCAGTGCATACATTTATAAATAGGCGGTTCATTGTGCTTGTGTTTGTAATGATACTGCAATTCTTTGTAAGATTTCATGATTCCATGATTGCAAATAGTACACTTCCATGGATAGCCTTGAATAGCTTCTGTTATCGTCAACCGACTTGTCACAACTTTGGTCTTTTTTAATTTTTTAATTATTTCTTCTCTCTCTAGTTTAACAACTTCGTCTTCTTCATTATCTTCTTTGTTATCTTCATCTCCTCGATTTTGTTCTTCTAGCTCCGTTTCTTGTTCTATTTCTCGGTCATTACCATTATTGACTTCATTCTCCTGCGCACTTACATCAACTGGATCATTAAATTCACTACTTACTTCGTTGATTATTTTTTCATACTCCTTACGCAAATTATTTATTTCTTCTTCTGAATTCGCATTTATTATTATTTCTTCGGAGTTTAAATTATTGATTATGTCTTCTTCATTAGAGTTACTTATCACTTGTTCGACAATTGAGGTACTTATGTTTTGTTCTTCAATTACAGTGTTAACTAATTGTTCTGGGTTGACATCAACATTGTCAACAACAAGATGTTGGTTAAAATTATTGTTTATTTGGCCTTGATTTACATTATTCAATTGTTCTTGAATTATTTTATTGAGCTGCTCTGGGGTTAAATTTTCTAGCTCAACTCCTTCCTCTAAATTTAAATTAATAACAACTTCAGCTTCTTGTTGATCTGGATAAAAATCAACAGGATTGTATTTTATTACAATAACTCTTTGGTCTTCAATTGGAATCTCTTTTTCAGTCGGTTGATAAATACTATCAAGATATGTTTGTACTTCAGCAGCTTGTTTAAAAAATTTGTAAAAATTTTCCAACTTATCACAACAATCAGTGCAAATTATTGTTGGCAAAATGTCATCTTCTGATATCTGTAATTAATTTTTAGAAAATTTAATTTTATAAAAATATGTTTTGGAACAAATTTGTTTGTTAAATAAGGTTTTAAAAAATTTCAAATGACAGCTGATTTTAATGTCATATTAATTTTATAATTTTTTTTTAAATTATTCCTAATCAATAAATTATTAATAATTATAAATCAATAAATCAATAAATAATAAATGCTTACGTTTATTTGAAGACATGAAATAACTTTGAGGCATAATTTTCTTTCAGCGCCTTCATTGTTTAATGAATCAACATAATTTATCGAATTTTTACCACATAATCGACAAAGTTTTAAATTTTTTCTCTCTGACGAGGTTATACGCTCCCACGTATAAGAGCTCATATTGACATTACTATTGTTTTCTTCAGTGATAAACATTAATTTATTTCTTTAAACACTTATTATACTTATAATTTAATTGTTGATATAAATATATTATTGTAAACGGTTATAAAAAACATTTTAACTTGAAATAATTTACCACTTTGTCAAAATGTCAACAATTAGACACGCCATGATAGTTCTCTATTTTCTACAACTTTTTAAATCAAATTACTCCAGATGGAGCTTTAAACTCTTTTCCCCCTGTACACTTTGATTTAAAATTGAAATTATATTATAACTAACTTTAAATAACCGTTTGTAATTTTTTAAAAATTTTCGTAATGATATTAATACAGAAAGGAATATTATCATACAGAATAATTATTACAATAAAAAAAATCAATCTACAAAAATTAATTGACTATTTCCTGTATTACTTTGATATCAACTATAATTTCATATATTTTTTTAAAATGACCCTAAGTGAAAATTTATTATTTTTCAATTATTACGAAACAGGGCTTAGGTCCTTTTAAATTAATCCAATTTCATCTTGGACTCGGTGTTGACAGCCGCTCTGGTAGAGGCTAACCCCCGGCCATTGACCGGAGCAAAGGGTATCAAGCGATTATTAACCGACATCGGCAATCGCGCTTTATTTATTGGCGGGCTTATAAGTTGCTGAAGCACGTTTCCTTTCTGTGCTACTCGCTCAAATGCTTCCACTTTTTTTTTTTTTTTTTTTAAGGAAGCCTTTCCGGGCGTAGCTGCAACTTCCGAGTCTTGGCTCATTATATCGGCTTTGGTAGCCTCGACAGCTGTCCGATCACGCGTTTCGGTGAAGATTCGTCGTCAGCGAAAACCTCATCAATTTCTGAATTGTCGTCTGACGAAATTGATGAAATTGTAAAATGTTGAATTTGACTCACATATAATGAATGTTTCGTCGGATTTTTTGAAAACTACAGTTTCATTTAAAATTTTTTTTTCACTCTTGTCGGCTGGTTCCTCTTCGTAGATCAACGCTTTAGAAATTTTTTAAATCTTTTTTATTTGTTATTTTGGCCTTAGCCGAAGCTAATCGGCTAGGTCGAAAAGTTACTTTTACTTCTTCCTTTTCGGATGGAGAAGACGAGTCCAGGTAGAGAGTGCAATTGCAAATGACCAAAAAGAAGCAAATTGTTAAAGTTTTATTTATAACTGTTAATCAATATGGAGAATTCTATTTAAATGAGGGACGTTGATGTAAATGTGATTTAGTGATTTAAGATTTAATGTAACATGGGATGGGAGAGTGTCAAAATTTTTCTGTAAAAGCTGTACTTAAGAAAATAAATAATAATACTTCTTCCTTTTTTTCGTCCTCAGGGATGCGGTGTTGGTACATTTCGGTTTTGGCTTATGCTTCTGCTTCTGCTTCTGCTTCTGCTTAGGCTTCGGCTTCGTTTTTGGTATCGGCCGTATCCAAATCTTTATCCGATCGTGGACGTAAATTATACGGACGGGCTTCCGAACCATCCCCCGACGTACCATATGATGGATATCCATCATGAACTGAAAAATTAAATTAATTATTAGCAAATTTTTATTTTTATTTCAGCAAAGAAAATATAATCGATGCTCCTATTGCACTGATGAGTAATAATTAAATTATAACAAAATAATTTTCAACCACGGGTCAAGTATTTTAAGTGTCACTGTAAATAATAAATTTCAACCATCTTGAATTTTCCGGAAACGCAGAATCAAAAAATTTGAGAAAAATAAATAAAAAACAATCTTACCCAAGAATTTTTTGATCGTTTGAAAAAAAATTTAGTATGCGTGGTTGCAATATTAATATTAGTATTTTTTTATTCCTGCCACAATTTTTCAACGAGTTCATAGGTAAGTGTACATAAAATAATATAAACGCCATTAATGGATTAAACTTTACAAAATTTATCTTTTTCTAAAAGAAGCAATCAAAAATAAAAAACTAATGAACTTAAAAACCAGTTAAATTCTAAAATTTCAAACATCATTTTGATTCTAAATGCCAAATTTTTTTTAGCATCTATAAATTGTTAAAAGTACTCACAAACGTGTTTATTGTTATTTACAGTAATAAAAAACGTAAGTAATTACATGTGAAAAAAAAGGCCATTCGGCAGCTGAAATGGAAGTAGATTTCATAAATAAAGATGAAAATATATATAGATTTATAAGAGATATATTGGACAAATCAATCGAAGAAACGACTGCAAGAGTAAAATTTCATTGAAACCTACAGACGAATAGGTTATTTTAAGTTTAGAAGAATGAAATTGTACGAAAATTAAAGCTGGTTTAATGGGCTTTAAAATGCAATTTACAAAAATTCGATAAGTTATTTCATTCAAAAGTTATGCGCGCAAGAATCAGCCAAAAAATGAATTTTTAGGATTTTGAAAATTTTGAAACCCTGTAATTTCTGAACTACTTGACCGATTAAGCTCATCTTTGAACTTGGCCTTGGTATTCGTCTAAAAATGAAGTATGTTGAGTTTGGAAAGGATCCATTATGAATTAGAGACGCTATCGTCCGGATAAGCCGCGTTATATCGTATATATATATAAATACATACATATATAAACTTTTGAACTAATGGCATTTTCTGAACCAGCTTGACGAACTGAGTCAGAAAATAGCAAAATTTTTCAAAAGTTGCGTCATGAGGACAAATGCAATAGTTAGATTTCTATAAAATCTACTAAAAAAGGAGATGGAAAAAGGGTAGAGGATTATAGGGGGATCACTATCACGCAGACTGCTTACAAGGTATATGTAGGAATACTGGAGAAGAGTCTTAAGAAGGAAGTGGAAGAAAAAAAGTTCCTTCCGAAAACTCAAGCAGGTTCTTTAATGTGAAAAAGTTAAAATCTAAAACCCGAGTCTAAGTAATTTAATATTTCTTCCATAAGAAGATAATTTTTATTGTCGGCCTTCTAACATTTCCAGGTACTTCTTACAACGACAATAAACAGAAAAGTTTCATTGTATTTCCTCGAGTCGTTGGTCTGTTCTGTTTCTATCAGCTCCCAACTCTCATACTCATTACATATAATAACGTCAAACTGACATTGTACGACAGCGTAAAAAGAGAACAACATAAAACGAAACTAAAAGTAAAATAGTCAGCAGGTAGGTAGGTATGGTACTAGTATTGTCCGTATACTCTTGCTCACAACTAAATAAATGTATTCTTATTCCTTTGACACAGGTATACATCTATATTATCCACACATCAAACAGGTAGATATATATATATACATGATGGGGATGATGAGGATGATGAAGGAGATGTAAATGTACACATGGACGTACCCACATAAACATCCTAGACATTAGATGTCAGATGCAATGTACATTATACATTGTACATTGTACTAGTGCACCTCACCAGTTTCCACATTGTCCCACACCTGGTACTTGCAATGTCCCACCTGATGATAGTCACTCCACACTGTAGACTACGGGCATGGGTACGGGTACGGCAAACTTACCACAGCACAGAATTGCTGGTTACCAAAGCCGAGTTGATGTCAGTGTAAGTGGGGAATCAGCTCACAGGTTCACAGGTAGACTGCCAGCTCCATAAACCAACACCAACTCAAGCCAGATACTGACTGCCAGCTATTTTATAACGAGTTTTTATGGTAGTTGTGAGTTTACCTGGTGCTGGTGGGGCCTTACAACTTCTCTCTCGTCAGTGAGCTCATGTACGTCGAGCCCGCGAGGAGCTAAAACATCTATAGTTGTTATTATTATTTTTATTTAAAGCCAAAAATGGCGTTAAGACCATAGTCATCTATCCTCAATTCGTCAGTGACTTAAATATCCAGTGGTAACATCCCGGTGGTGAAGATTAATACATACCGAAAGTTGTATTACATATTTAAGTGAGTTATTGGTTGCATCTACTTGTTTTGTTGTTGGTTACGTAGCCGTATAAATTTTGTACTGCTTACTCTAAAGTAAATAATACCTGCATGTTAATGTTCATATTCATGGTGATGCCTTTATCTTAAAAAGAGAAGAGAAGCGTTAGTTTTATTAAATGGCTTGTTGATGAATGAACCTATTTATATGGTATGATTATACAGAGATTATTACAATTTTACAAGTTGTTATTTTATAATCAAATGCCGTTTTTCTTCTTTCGAGCCTGACGAACAGACTTTCCCAAACGACTCGCGCGTATATTCCAGCGGTCGAGGGCTTTCCGTGGTTGTGGTTGTTCGCGCGAGAAGTGCACCTGAGAAAAGAGCATAAGAGTTATTTTTTATTATTATTATTATTATTATTATATATATATATAGATGTATTTATGTAATCTATATATGTGGTAAATATTTTAAATTCTAGGAACCAATTGTTCCGGAATTGAAGATTTTTTGAATGTATAACAACGAATTTTCAGAATCATTTTAGTGAATTGCAGTTTTGTTGTTGAAATTTCTTCAAAGAAGATAGATTTCAAAGAAATGACCTATGACAAATTTATTTTTAATCAGAAGAATAGTTAAAGGAAATTTAAAGAGTCATTTCTATATATTTAATTCTTTGAAAGTAATTTTTGATTTTGTGAATTTTTTTCTGGAATTCAATTTTTGTTTTAAAATTTTTTTTTAAGAATATAATTACGTTTGGTAGTTTAGTTTTTATATAAAATAATTTTAATCATTGGAAAGTCAAATTTAGCGAAATTTAGCTCTTCAAAAATTTATTTAATACTTAATATCTCATTTATACATACATATTTATGAATGAGTGAGATAGTTTCATTGAAAGTATATTATTTTGTTTAAAATATTCATACAGATATAAATACATATCCATTAATAATAGTAAAAGAGAAAGAAATATATTAGTGTTACGTAGAGTGATGGTATTTTTAACGTGGGTGCGGAAAATGTGACTTTTTAGTGGGCGTGTTACCGAAAGAAAAAAAATCTATTAATTTTAAATGTTAAGTTTACTTAAAGGAATTAAAATTAAAAAAATTTTATTGTAAAAGTTAATAATGTTTATCTTTGGTAAGTCAATGACGTCATGTATAATTAATTGAGCACCCTATTTGGCGGGAATTCTTAACGATTGACGCAGATTATTTGCAACTTTAATAACATCCGTAAAAAATTAATAATTAATTATTAATAAGGGATAATTGATTGTTGCAAAGAACTGAGGCCTTAAAAAATATTTAAAAAGTTATGATGATAATGATAATGAATAAAAGTACTCGAGCGAGACGCACATGGTACTGGATAGTATAGTAACGAGATGATGTCACTGTTTGAGTAATCCTTGGGCTCTATCCAAACGGAAATTATTTTTTACTTACCTCTATACGCTTGTACTTGCTGCTTTTTTTTTTTTAATATTTATGCTTAATGAGGAAGAATATATTTAAAGACAGAAAGGATTAAATGCCGTAATTAATTGGTAATCAATTGATTATAAATTTAAATTAAAATTTTATTATTTATTTCTTCTTTAATTGCGAGATTGAGTTGTTTGTGTTTTATGTTTATGGTAATTTTTTTAGTTTTAAATCAAAGCCCAGCTTTATTAAAATATAATAACAATTTAACTGTTTAGAAGAATTTTGAAAGGGATTATTATTATTATAATTTTAATATTGTTATGAAATTATTTTTCGAATTAAAAATCCCGGTAACGTACCTGTAGATCGCTGGTATCAAGATAAAACCTCAACTTCACTTTCACCCGTGTGAAAATTTTAAAATACTCAATACACTATTATTTTTATTATTATGATCCAGTATATGCAAATAAACATTTTATTTTCCTTTTTACGTAACGGGTCTCATAACAACTTTTTTTTATAGGTTTAGATAATAGTTTATTTGTTCGCGCTAGTTAATAAAGAAATTTTCTTCTTAAGAATTTTATGTTATATATTTTGCACTTGCTAAATCGCAAACATTTTTAATTTATAACTTTTTATCTTATAATAATTGATGGTTTATTGAGTTTAAATTATTCTTTACAGTCAATTTAATTGTTAAACATTTAGTTTCAGTAGCTCTTTCTAATTTATGGAGGAAATTTTATGAGCGATGGAAAAATTAATATTTATTGAAAAAGTTTATACTTGCTAATAAAAAATTAAAAAATTTTATTTAAATATGTGTAATTTTTTTAAATAAAAAGTTGGTGGGGAGTTTGTAACGCCTTGTTGTTAGGGGGCAATGCTAGTTGCTAGGTTTGCTGCTAAGAGAGAGAGAGAGAGAGAGAGAGAAGAAATAGTTATTTTGTACTAATCATAATTATACATTTAATTCCATATAAATAATTATATTTAGTAAATTATATTAAGCGCGTGAAACTATATAAATTTAAAATTAATTTTTTTTGAATGAATTTAAATAATTTTAATTAATAAATATTAATTTATAATAAAATTTTCCCAGGAAACAAAAATGCAATCAATGGAACAATTACGTCCAGAAGAATTAGTAGGGCTGGTAGCCCGGTCAGCAGAGGGTACAGCTGCAAAGGGTATGCCAATCAAGGGCAACGAAGATCTTTGGGTCGAGATTCAAGCGAATACCTTTAGGAACTGGGTCAATGAGCATCTGAAGCACGCGGGTGACGCCGGAGGAGGACCGGTTTTGGACTTGGCGGAAGATTTTCGCGACGGAACGCGTCTTTGCGCTCTCGTTGAAGTCCTCACCAAGCGACGGCTTCCCAGGTGGAATCCCCGGCCCGCGAACCAGCACCACCACCTGGAGAACGTGTCAACCGCCCTGCAGGCCATCGAGGCCGACGGCGTCAAGCTCGTCAACATCGGTAACTGCTAATTATCACACTAATTAATTATTAATTCATTAATTACTTATTTTAGAGGTTGCTTCGTCGATTAAGATGTGCGACGGACCTATACATCTATTATGCCTGATGACGGCTCCATAATTGTTATTATTGATTCAGATATTTATAGAGTCTCGAGGAAGTATTCGCGTGACATAAGTAATTGCATAAACTTTGTCTATCTAAGCGTATATTTGCATAGACGCTGTAATAAGCTCGGAGGTGGAGCCATTGAACATTCCATTGCCCGTATATTTATATTGTCATTATTATTGTCGCTGTTTGTAATCACGATCAATATTTTATCCGATTGTCAACGTCTTTCATAATCTTCTTTCATGTTTTTTTTTTTTTTGAACTGACACTCGTAAGGATTATTTATCGATACAACTGATTACTTTTTTTTACCTACAGGACACTGATCTGGTCTTTCAAGGAATTGGATTTAAAATATTTTTTTACAATTAATATTAATAAGCCGTAAAAATTTATCATTTCTTCTTTTTAATTTCTGCAAAATTACTTTAGTAAAAAAAAAAAAACTTTCTAGAAATAATTTGTGAGCTTTCTTTTACAATATCAATTCAATCGATCATCTTCTCTCAAGATAATTTAATCCATTAAAATAATCAATATCAGAATGATCAATAACACAAAGCTTCAAAGTGTCATTTTTAAAATACCAGTACAATAATTAATCTCAAGTTACAACCTTTCTAATCTATTAACGTAATTAATGGATCCTTCAATAACTTTTCACTGAGTTAAATTAATTTTATCAATAATAATAAATTATCAAAAAATCCATAGTCTAGGGTATCTATAAAAAATATGACAATTAATAAATAAAAAGTATCAATAACAACAAATCCTCGGAGATCGTCAGGAGCAATAAACGTCTAGATTCCTCAGTTCATTCTTCTTATACTCTTTACATCACAACACCCACGTCTATCTCTCCAAATATAGGCGTGACGTTTGTCTCATACACTTTCATCAGTTTTAATCTGAAACATTAAACACTAAATAATATTCCCATTCATTTATTTCTTCTTCTTTTCTTCAGAATAATTAAATTAAAATCCCATTAATAATTAATAATTGATAAATTCCTCCACTTATATTGACGTTAGGAAAAAAAATAAAATCTTCATTAATTGCCGAGCATGACCTGAATCAAAAACGTCTTACATATCATCATTTTCATGGTCATTATCACCACCACCATAATTATCGTCATTACTCATTACAAAACGATACATTTGAATTCCCGGCACGCAGCAAAAAAATTAACTTTAATTTTTTCCACGTACTGATTATTCGTTTAATTTGTCACCGTATTTTCAATTTAATCTTCTTTTCTCAGATTCTTTAACCAACTGAACTCCTACAAGGTAATTCAGCCCAGTCCTGAAAAATTAAGGATTAATAAATCAAACAAACATCAAATGGTTTAAATTAAAATTTTCTACTTACAAGTTATCTTGCATCATTCACCATATTACAAATCTAAGTTGGCAATCGAAGTCTCGAGGTCGTTGCCTTTCTTGTTATAAACCAGCGCCCACCGTGTCTCTCTGTTTCGCTCTTAAACTTGCCATTATATTTTTTACAGTTACTGAAAAAAAATATAAGATATATATACTAAAAAAAAAAAAAAAAAAAAAAAAAAAAAAATCATTTACTCTAAACACTTGTGTCTCATGTGTGTCACGACTCTACGTCATCTAATGTCCCACTAAGTCTGCTAAAAATCCTCTAACGCTAACTCTGTTTCTGCTTCTGCCTGTTTATTCACATTTATATTAAATTGAACCGCTGCACTGATAACTCAAATTAAAATAAAATTATAATTTAAGGATTTTATCTTTTTTTTCTGTTATAACGATTGTAATATTCAAAAAAACACTGTAAAGATTAAATTTATGGACGAGACGTTTTAGCGAACGATAAATATTTTATTACTCCGCTTAAAATAGTTTATGGTTTAATTTAATATTATCTAGTTGTTGGTAATTTATATTAAGTAGCCTCGAACTGATTTTAAATTATTTGAGCGTCAATTATCGACTTGTGTGTTTGTTCTTGCTATAAAATATTTTATTTTATCATTAGAAAAAAAAACTTGATAGAATAAATTCTTTTAATGATTAGATGATACAGGGAATTTATTTTATTTCAATTGTCATTTTTTAGTCAATGATTAAAATTATTTATGTAAGCTAAACCTTGACCACATTTATTTTCCAGGTAATGTAGACATCGTTAATGGAAACCTTAAACTGATTCTTGGATTAATATGGTCACTTATTGTTCGCTACCAAATTGGAAAATCAAAATTCCCACCGCGTAAACTCATGCTAGCTTGGCTTAAGGTCAGTAAACTATTTCTTCATATTATTTTATAATAATTATATTAATAATAATATTTTTACAGGCAGTATTACCAGAATGCCGTGTCAATAATTTTACAACAGATTGGAATTCGGGTGTTTATTTAAGCGCATTATTAGATTACTGTAAGCCTGGTTTGTTTCCTCATTGGCGTCAATTGGATCGTACTGATAGGTTTGTTTATTTTTTACATAATACTTTGACAAAGAGAAATTGCTTTAGCTGATTTTTTATACTAATAATTTATTACTGAATTATTTATCATTTATTCGCGTGAAGAAAAATTATTACTTTTACATTTTAATGAAATATTTCTACAAGAATTTATTTCCAATTAAATTTAATTGTATGTAAAAAAATGATTCATTTCATGATGAAGAAATAACTGGTAATCTATCATTAGACGTAGAAATGCAAATAGATACTATTATTATTAAAAATTAAATTTTTCTTCAAGTTTTTTGCAATAGAAAAATTTATATTCTTCCTTCAATAATTTTTTTAGTTAAGATAACAATTGTTTGATTAAAATTACATGATATTTATTGAATAATTAAAAGCTGTAAGAACAAGTATTAATTTTTCTCAGACAATAAATAAAAAATAAAATTTTATTTCAGCGTTTACAACTGTCGAAAAGCTATGGAAATTTCAAAACGTGAATTTGACATCCCAGTAGTATTAGAACCAGAATATCTAGCCTCACCATATCTCGATGAGCTCTCAGGGATGACATACCTGTCTTATTTTATGAAGGAAGGTTCTCCAGGTTTCTATGCAACACTACGTTGGGTTAATTCACAATTAACTCATGCTCCTGTCAGAAATTTTACGGTACTTTATATTCTTCTTCTTAAATCAACCTATTTATTATTGAAGCTTAATTTTATAAATTAACTATTTAAAAAAAAAAAAAAAAATTCAGACTGATTGGAACGACGGCCGAGCACTGTGCAGCATAGTCAGAAATCTTGGTGGTCCAGCGCCGACGTACGACAAAATAAAGACCGACCCCAAGTACTGGGAGTCGAACCTCCAGCAGGGAATCGACGGGGCAAAAAAGTTGGGCGTCGAGCCTATTCTGAAAGCCAAGGACATGGCAGACCAAAACGTAGAGCACTTGGGAGTTATGGCTTACGCGGCCCATTTCCAGTGGGTAAAACCTCGTCCTCAGGCCAGCGAGCAGCTCGCAGTCCACGTAGACAGCACTTCTGCCCGCGTTCAGCAGCCAGTGAGTATTTTTTACCTTACATAATCTCTTAAAATCCTACGTGCGATAAATATATAATCAGTCTTACGTTATAATGAAAGTAGAATTAATTTATTAATTAATTTTATTGTAATAAATATTTATGTCCATACTAACTACCTACTTTCATTTTTAATAAACAATATATTTATTTATTAACTTTTTTTTTTGCTCTTGTCTAGGCGATATTCCGTTTGGAGATGCTGTCGAAAGAAGTACATCCACGTGAAGTTCGTGGTGAGATAATAAGTCCAAGTGGGAAAATAGAATGTCGTCTCACTTGGAATGGTACACACGGCAAGGGTACATTTGTACCGACCGAAGTAGGAATGCACAAGGTTCGTTGATCGTCTTAATTATCCACCATAAAAAAAATAAAAAAATAAAAAACCACCTTCCATTAAAGACATTAATCTAAGCCGGCTCCTAAATACATGACAAACGATGTTGTGAAACTTTGCATGTTAATAAACCGGTAATTATTATTAATTGCCGTCGAAACCTAAAATTATTTATTTAATTGGCAGTTGATGGTGTACAATGATGGGGAGCTCGTCAATGGTTGTCCCTATTACTTCAGGGTTTTACCTCCGTTAACGAAAATAAAATCCCCCGGCATGGAGCCATGCGCTATTGGCTCTATTGTCGAGGTTCTAGTCAACAGTTACGGTAATTTATTTAAAATTATTTATTTTAATTACTGATAAGATAATTAATAATTAAAAAATATTTTTTTTTTTAAACAGGAACTAGTCATGACGGCATTGACGTGACAGCATGGTCACCAACAAATCGTTCGCTTCCCTGTCCGGTAAAAGAAAATAGCGGAGTGCATACCGCGACATTTCAGCCTGATGAAACCGGTGAATGGAGTATCGCTATTACGCATAAAGGTACACACATACAAGGCGGTCCATTTACTTGTTTCGTCTTTGATCCAAATGGTATCAAGGTAATATTATAAATTACTCTGGCTTTTTTATTTTTAAATTTATTCCACTTTCTTTTATTTAATTTTGCATTTTTAAATATTTACTCAATAAAATTACAAGTACTTTTAATGCTCGCAGGCAATTAGTTTAGGCTATTGTCATTTTAAAATGCTTTTAGTGTCTTCCGGTCTACTTTTCTTAGCTACTTAAATAATTAGACGCTTTCGCTTTGTCTAAAAAATACATTCTTTATTTTTTAATATGACATATTTTTGTAAGTGTTTAAAAGTGTTTAAAAGTGGGGCCAACCATTTTAATTTTAATTTTTTTGAACGAAATTTCTATTAGTATTTATTGATATATTTTTTTTTGAAAAATACATAAAAAAATGAACAATTAAAAAAAAAAAAGTTGATTATCACAATTTTTCAAAAAAATTTATACATTTTTTAGAAAATTGTGATAATCTACTTTCTTTTTTTTTTATTGCTCGTTTTTTTATATGTACTTTAAAAAAAAATATATCAAAAAAAGATAAAATAGAAATTTTATCCAAAAACATGAGAGCCAAAATTTTTTTTCAACTTTTGAAGGCAAAAAAGCTATCGAAATCTTTACATTTTTTAGAAAATTGTGATAATCTACTTTCTTTTTTTTTAATTGCTACGATTTTTTTATGTACTTTAAAAAAAATATATCAAAAAAAGATAGAATAGAAATTTTATCCAAAAACATGAGAGCCAAAATTTTTTTTCAACTTTTGAAGGCAAAAAAGCTATCGAAATCTTTATTTTTTTCTTTCACATTTTTTATCATAAATGCCCCGTAAAAACAAGCAGAATCAAAAAAAAAAATTTGAAAATGTTAATTTTTCACCTATAGTTATGGCTCAAAATGGGGTTGACCTCACTTGTAAGTAATTACCCATATTTTAAAAATAATTATTTTTACCAGCTAATGGATACAGAAGGTGCAATACCCGGCCAACCATTTTCATTCATAGTCGACGCGACGGGTACAGGTGGCCTGGGAGACGTCAACATCGACATAGTCCATGACAAGCAATCGGTACCATTCCGAATGGAAGATATCGGAAGAATGCGCTACCGAGTGTTTATGGTCCCGCGCGAAGCGGGAAAATACCGAGTATACTTATACTTCAACGGGTCTGACGTTCGCGGCTCGCCGATATCAATCCGAGTAGGCTCTCACAAGAGCAGAAGGTCTAAAGAAGCCTCATCTAGCTACGAGAGGTCAAAAGTTTCTTCTCTAGAAAAAAGAATGAACGGGCTGAACGTGACCGATGGGCAAAAACGACACTCGCCAGTCTACAAGAGTTCCTCGCAGAGTCCTACTCAAAACTACCGGGACTATCATCACCAGTCATACAAATCAAATTATGTGACTGAGAATTCAAACTCGTATCAGGTACCGAGTCCTTTGCAGGCTTCGAGATCTCCTGTCCAGAACTCAAGTCCTTCGTTGATCAAAGAGTCTCGGGAAATTTACTCCTCGACGACGTTCAACCGCTCAAGGTCCCCGGTGAATGTTGCACAAAGCCCCAGTTTGATCAAGGAGTCCAAGGATGTATATGCTTCTAGCTCGCTCAAGAGATCACGGTCTCCTAATTTACGAGACTCCCACACCACAGCTTCCAGTAGTGTTATCAAAGAGTCCAAGGATATTTATCAGTCGAGTACGTTAAATAGATCACGGTCACCAGCTGTCAGTCCTATTAATCGCAGCTTTAGTCCCAGGGTCAATGGAAAAGATCTTGGGCGAAGACGTGGATCTGCTGATAGTGGAGTCATTGACACTAGCAGCAATGTACGAGGTAAGTTTCTGAAAATTTTTATGTAAATTTAAGGGAGGTAAAAGATCCAGTTATTAAAACTTTCAATTTTAATCTAATTAAAAAAATACTCTATCTCTAGACACATAATTAAGAAATGACCTTGTATCTTGTGAACTATTGACATTTTTAAAGAAATAAGCTCACTCCTACATTACACTCATCGAGACCTTTCATTTGAGTACTCACATGCATTTTGATATATTTTTCATAAATGGGTGATTCTCTGTAAGGATGTTTTTTGCTGTCCCCGGCATTTTTTTATTAGAAAAATTGTTATTTCGTTACTAAAAAAAAGTTGTTACGAAAGTAAAAAAACATTTCTATTTGGAGCATTGAAAACTAAAATGAAATAAATTTTGGTTTTTTTGCTATAAATTCGTAAACCACTGAAATATCAGTCTCCTGGGCTGTCCCATTCCCAAAATTAAAACTTTAAGATTAAATTTTAAGTTATTCGTCAATAATATATAATTTGGTCCATAATGTTTATAAACTTAATTAGTTAACTAACAATCTTCTTCAATAAAAAGTACCGAAATAAATTAATTTGTTTCATTAAATTCATTAAACCAAAGTTTGTCCCAGGCATTTTAAGATCAGTCTTAAAAAAATCCAGCGTGTTATTTTACCTTTTGTAAGGTTTATAAGGATTTAACTAGCCTTGAGTTAATAACCATAGGGCTGTTAGCGCTTTATCGCGATTTTATTTAGTCTCAAAGCACCGTTTGTGCTAGAAATATGTGTCTAGGCCACTTCAAAACTCAGTCCCCTGGCAGCTATTTTTATTTATAATTTATTTATAAAATTGGATCCATAAGTCTTAATATTATTCTAATTAATGTAAACATTTCATTGAGAACTTAAAAAGTTGAATCAGTCTCCTGGTAAACAGTCCCCTGTCATGGTATATGGCAAAAGATACATAAATATCGAAAAAGCAAAAATTAATTCAGCTGTTTATTTATTATGATTAAGCTGATAGTTTTGTAGCCCTTGTTAATTTTTTTTCTAATAAAATCAAAAATAATTTGGTCGGACAATTTTGTACAGATTTAAGACGTCCTTACAGAGAATCATCCATATACATAATATATGAAAAATATATCAAAATGCATGTGGATACTCAAGTGAAAGCTCTTGATCATTGTAACATCGGGATGAGCTTATATCTTAATAAATGCCAATAATAATAATTAAGAACTAACTTTGTTATCTTGTCAACCAATGATATTTTTGAAGATATAAGCTCATCTCGATTTTACACTCATCGAGATCTTTCATTTGAGTACCCACATCAATTTTTCATATATTTATATACATTATATACTAGCTGTTACTCGTCTGCCCCGCTAGGCACTTTATAGAATTTCATTTTTAGATCTAGACTTGAAATTTAATTAGAGTATTGTTTTGACTTGCACAGATTCCAAATTCTGTCGAATTGACATACACCTTTTATCCATGTAATTATTCTAGCTAATACTCATCGTAAACTTTCAATGTGCAATCATTATAACATTCCCAAGTCTTTCTTACAAAAATGAATAATAATTGATATGAAAAAAAAAAACTTTTAACGAGCATTGAAAGTTTCAGTTAAAGAAATTGCAGGTTTCATAAGTGAAGAAATCTGTCCAGAAATAACAATCGAATAGCATAAATTTAGTTACAATAAAAAATTCATTATTTATAAGTCAAAAAAATATAGGTTCCGGAAAAGTAATCACAACCATATCATATACTAAAACCTTCTCCGAAACACGCTGCATCTTATAGTATATAAGTATTATTCCGATCGGTTCAGTAGTTTTCGCAGTATAACCGGACAAAAAAACCGGCTCTCTATTTATTAGTATAGATATATAAATATTAAATATATAAAAAATTGATGTAGGTACTCAAATGAAAGGTCTTGATGAGTATAACATAGGGATGAACTTATATCTTTAAAAACGTCAATATTTAAAAAAGTACAGTGCAATTTAACAAAAGTCATTATTTAATTAAATTAAGGTTGCTAGAATTTATTAATTTATTAGAGTTGATTTGTTTTTAATTAAAATAAAATTGCAAGTATCAATAACCGGGTCTTTTACCTTAATTATGATTACATGAATAAATAATTTATAAAAAATGATTGCAGTATCGTCAACTTTGGGAGGAACTCCAAGGAGAGACTCCTGGGACGCGATAGCTAAAACGAAAGCCATGCTGTCTTACGGAAGCCTCGAGTCATTGGCAAACCTCGCGAATTCGGGAACCGAGCACACGAATTTTGTAAACGAGGGATACCGCAACGGCTACAACAACTACTCCTCGACAACGAACGTCGAACGAACGGTAGAAAACTCAAAAAATTACACAACTCGTTTCACTAGCGACTACAGATCTTCATCGCCCAAGTACAATGGCAACCACACCATGGAGAACGGACGTAGTCACACCCACGGTATCTTGAAAAATAGAAACAACAACTATTACAAATCCACCGACACTACGGACATTATCCACGAGCGATTAATCAACAACGAAGAGTTTATGAACACGACGGAACGTCGTAAAGGTTGCTTAGCTTCTGGAACAGCGCTTGATGTTCTGCCGCTTCATAAGCCCGCTTCGTTTACTCTCGATCCAAGTGTCGACGGCAGCAAGGCTATTGTTACTGTAACTGGTAATAAAAGATTAATTAATCGATCAATCTTGATCCGATAATTGGTAGGTAATTAATTGATTAATTTTATTTGGCGTTTTAGGACCCCGGGGTAAACAAATATCCTACAAAAAATCAACTCTTCGAGGCTATACGTACACAATAACTGCTGAAGAAGTTGGAGAACATACTATTCAAGTCACTGTTAATGGTCAACACATTAAAGGATCACCTTTTAGGTATTAATTGATTAATTAAATAATATTTTATTGATTTTTAAACACATACTATTTTTATTGATAATAATTTTTATATTTTTTATCTATAAATATTTAAATTAATAATTTGTTAGTCTCTAGAGTATTTATGAATTAAATTAACAATGAAATAATTTTTTAAAGATCTCAAGCTTACGATGCAGCTGCAATCCATGTAGATAATGTACCAGACGGAGTAGTTAATCAACCTGTTGAATTTGAAAGTAAGAAGCCAATTAAAAGTTATGAATAATTTTTAAATAAAAATTAAAATGAAAATCTAATATTTTTACAGTCGACGGTTCCAGAGCTGGCTCAGGAAACTTAGAAATTCTAGTAAACGGTGGGCATGTAACAAGTTTCGTAAAGGCCCTGGGTAGTCATAGATTTTTAGCGTCATTTGTACCTCATGAGGCAGTAACTCATCTCGTCGAGATGACTTTCAATGGCGAAACTGTGCCAGGTAAGTGACTTCTAAGTCATTCAATTCAACCTCATTTAATTCGCCGTAATTAAATTATTACACATTTTAAATGTTTTACGAGTAAAATAACATTTACCAGGGTCACTGACTCGGATTTCTATTGCCGTAAAAACAATCCGTCGTTGTCTAAATGACACAAACTTGGTATTGTCAGCAAAAAAAAAAAATTTATATAATAATTTGAAAATTAAAGGAAGATTTGTCTGATAAAAATGAACTGAAGAAGCTGACGCATTATCTAATCCTAAAAGCTATTAACAATATATTAACAACAACTTGTAAACGCAACAAGTTCAACGACTCGAAGAAATATTTAGCGTACGCATCAACATCACCGACACACTGACCCAGATAGTCCGTGTCATCAACATTCTCACCTTCTGTCTAGCTTATAAGTATTTATATTTTCTCCTGACAAAAAACCGAGTAGTCTCTCTTGTCTTTCCATTAAGACGCTTGTTGCATCGCATCAGCTTACATTAACATTAACGTCAAGATCGTCGCTAGCCTTAGCCTTTGATGCATTATCCACTCGTGTCAAACCAAGACTTTCTTAACATTTAACTCTCGATCCAACTTACTCTTCAGCGACTTGATATGAGCTTCGAGCATTGATCTAATGTTTATTAAGGCGTGGCACTGCTTATTTGGTCACCAGGACGCCTACCTTTGATTTTAAATTTTTATATTACCTTGCAAATTCTTATAGAAGAAATAATCTTTAATTTATTAAAGCGCTAGCGTCTTTAATAAATTAAATATTAAATAATAAAAAATTATTAATACAGTATAAAAATTACTAACGGAAATGTACCGTTACTTACTCGTACACTATAATAATTTTTAAATATAAATTTATATTCTTAAATTATTGCACTTATTTATAGGAGTATTTTGTTATATTTATATTTATTGTTAAATATTAAATCCCAAGGACACGTCATGGGAAGTGACTTAGTAGGTCATTTTAAAATTATGTACTCGATGGATTTATTTTATTTACGTTTAGTTTTATTGTATTTTATACAAAGGGTTTTCTTCTTAGAAGTTGAATGAATAAAATTTTTCAGAGGATAGTTTTGATTGAGATAAAACGTAACATTCTATAACTAAACGGGTTTAGTTTAAACTGTAAATAGTTAGTTGTTAGAGAGAGGTGAATATTAAGACGAAGACGTATTGATGGAGGCATTTGTGTCACTGGGAGTGGTAATTTCAACGCGTGCCAAGCTGCATACGTTTTTTTTTTTTTATATTTATACAATCCTTTTTATTTATTATTGTATTATTTGAGTAATTAATATCAATTATTGTTAGCTTTGGATTTTTAAGAAAGAAAAAGACCGATTAATTAAACCGGAGAAAATTAATACCGTTAACTTCGGAGAATGCTACGTTGGATCGGGATCGATCCAACGACGTACAAGGGCCGGATTTGAGAAGAAAATTTTTACTCGAATATTCTTTTATTATATTGTGTATTGCTGAAATAATTTCAGCGCATGCTGGGAAGATATGAGGGCTTTGAAGTTTAAATTATGCAGGATTTCCTAGTGAGGAGATGCAATTTACCTGGTCATAAGAACAGGTGATTCTCGCGGTTTAGACCCGATTTTTTTACTCAACAATCAGAATGCGGTTTAATAAGCGATACCAGAGAAGGACTTCTATTTGCATCCTCATACTCAGGTATATCGGGATATACATGTACGTATCGAGTGCTGGAATGGGAAAGCTAGTGGGAGGGAGTGATGGTATTGTCAGGATTGGAGGTAGATGTTTTATGTACCTGGGTCTTTTATTTACTTTATATTTTATTTATAGCTATATTATTTTTTTATCAAATAATTGTAAAGAATTTTTAGATTTTTTTTTTATATACTTAATTATTTTTTAAATCATTTTTATTTATTTATAGATAAAAATTTTTTTTAATTCATAATTGCTATTATAATTAATCTAAAAAATATTTTGTGAGTCTTGAAAAATTTTTATAATTAATAAAATGATTTGATTAAAATTTAAAAAATAATAAATATTTTTTTTTCAATTAAAAAAAAAATATTTAGAAGTTAAAAAAAATTTTTAAACTAATTTATTTGAAAGAAAAAAAATTTTTTATAAATCCCGGGAGAAAAGTACGTACCTGGAAAAGGGAGTAGAGTGGCGGAATCACCGCGGTCACACTTGTCTCGCTTCTCAGCTCGGTTGAGTCCGCTGAGAGTCGGTGAATCGCGTTTTCTGCTGACGTTACACTCTTACTCCGTTCTCGAATTTCTTCATAACTTCCTGTTTATCTACCGTATTATTATCGGGAATACACAACTGTCTGCTTATCGCTTCTATTCACATCCTTCTTATATTACTTATTTTATTAACATTTATTTAAATACCATTACCGCATCATTATCATCTTCAGCTCCAATTGTTCCTCGTTAACTGTAAATTAATACCATTAAAATTAAATATAATATATATATATATATAAATTTCAATACTAATTACTTCTTCATTAGAATACCAATGTGAATATTTATAATCATTTGTGCGCATAAATATTTCAATTTATAAACGTGTTGCGTGATGATGGATCTGTCTATTTCGGGCCACAATAATTTTCGTCGATCGGGCAACGCGATCGATGGTGACTAGCACTTTGTACTTCCAATTTCATTAGTTTTTAACGATCAATCTATCTCTTACGTCACTTTAATTTCCTCATCCTCTCTCTCATTAAAAAATAAGAAAAAAAAAAAAAAAAAACTAACCAAGTTTTAAAAACGCGTATTATAAGAATTTTTTTAGCTCCAATTTAATCAAGGTGACCTTAAGGTATACAAGTGTTTTTTTACTCAAAATAAGTGTGTTAAAATAAATTTAATAATTTTACAACAAACAAATTATGGCAAAAAAAAAAAAATTGACATTTCAAAATTTTATAAAAATAAAAAATGCAATTTTTTGGAACAAATTTTTTTGTTAAATAAAATTTAAAAATTGTTAAGTGCTAACTTTAATGCCATTAAAATAAAAATCGAGGCTTGAGAAAAAATATTTAAATAATTATGATAATAAAGTTGTAATTTGCCTTGTCAGTGATTATTTACTTCCGGAATTCAGAGTTATGCATTTTAACTTTTAAATAAAAATAGTACAGTGTTGGTGATGAATTCATACTGTTACTTTTTTTATTATTATTATTTTTACACAGTGAATAATTAAAGTCTGTTGGATTTTAGGATCACCTTGGAGAGTTAACGTAATGCCTGGACCGAAGATGTCGGTCTTGGGGGACTCAGTAAGGCTAGTACCTGCTGGTACTCCGGCCTTATTTGAACTCTCTGCCCTTGGTTTTACCAGCAAAGAAATAGACGTGCAGATAATAAGTGAGTACTTTTAAAAAAAAAATTTTTTCTCGGAATTTATAAAGAATTTTATTTAAAAAAAAAAAAAAAAAAACTCAAATATTGTATTAAATAAATTTCAACATTAATACTAAAACTAGAAAAAAAAAAAAAAAAAAAAAAAAAAAAAAATTTAAAAGACAATAATAAACTAGGTCAAAGAATTCATAATTTAATATTTGAATTACCTATTCACGAAATTGTCTATTTTCTACTTTTTATTTCTTCCGCAGAGATTTCTTTTAAATACCTCAGGTTAGAAATTTCTCTTAATTTTTTTTTAACACCTCATACATTCAAAATCAACTGGCTAAGTAAATAAAATAAATTAAAATGTCTTTAACAAGTAATTGAAAATTAATTGGTTATTTATTTAAATTTCAGCACCATCTAAAAGACACATAACAGCACGTGTTGATGAAGAACCAGGGCGCACAGGTGAATTCCGGGTGGAGTTTACGCCAACAGAAGTGGGTAGTCATCTGGTGGAGGTGAGCGTCGCGGGACAAAAGCTACCGGCTGGACCCCTCATCGCAAAAGTCTATAACAGCAGCCTCATCCAAGTTACTGACGTACCCAGTGCCGTTGTTGGACATGCCTGCCAATTTAGAGGTACCTTTCTTCCCAAATTTACCAAATTTACTATTTTGTAAATTATAAATTATTAACAATAAATTTATTTAATCCAGTTGACGCTAGCGCTGCTGGCGAAGGCCAGTTAGAAATATCGATAAACGAAGGAGAAGTGCCAAATCACGTCCAAGTAGTAGGTGGTGGTCGTTGCCTCGTGTCATTTACGCCTGAATCAGCCAAGCCTCATTACATAGACATTAAATTCAACGGCGAAGCTGTGCCAGGTTGCCCTTTTGTCTGCAATGTTTCCGATACAAGTCGGGTGATTCTTAGCTTAAATCACTTGGAATTAATACCCGTCGATCAACCGGCCAATTTTCATATGGCTGTTGATGGTAGTGGAAGTGCTGAACTTGCTGTTTCTGTTCGTGGTAATTATTCATTTTTTTATACTGATTATTATCACGAAAATAAATGAAAATTGATTTATCAGATTAAAAATTTTTTTAACAAATAAACTAGCAACCTTGCAGTCATTATGGGACTGCCGTAGTGAACTACAAGTAAATAAAATTTTGCTTTATTAAATAATGACTTTTGTTAAATTGCACTGTACTTTCTTAACTATTGACATTTTTAAAGATATAAGCTCATCCCGATGTTACACTCATCAAGAGCTTTCATTTGAGTACCCACATGCATTTTCATATATTTTTCATATATATAATATATATGAATTATATAAATATATCAAATATATGAAAAATTGA